TTCGCGCGTTGGGCCGCCATTTTGTCCGCGCGCGGGAAACCGCGGAGATGTTCGCGCGTTGGGCCGCCATTTTGTACGCGCGCGGGAAACCGCGGAGATGTTCGCGCGTTGGGCCGCCATTTTGTACGCGCGCGGGAAACCGCGGAGATGTTCGCACGTTGGGACGCCATTTTGTACGCGCGCGGGAAACCGCGGAGATGTTCACGCGTTGGGCCGCCATTTTTTACGCGCGCGGGAAACAGCGGAGATGTTTGCGCGCTGGGCCGCCATTTTGTACTCCCGCTGGAAACCACGGAGATGTTCGCGCGTTGGGCTGCCATTTTGTACGCGCGCGGGAAACCGCGGAGATGTTCGCGCGTTGGGCCGCCATTTTGTACGCGCACGGGAAACCGCGGAGATGTTCGCGCGTTGGGCCGCCATTTTGTACGCGCGCGGGAAACCGCGGAGATGTTCGTGCGTTGGGCCGCAATTTTTTACGCGCGCGGGAAACCCCGGAGATGTTCGCGCGTTCGGCCGCCATTTTGTCCGCGCGCGGGAAACCGCAGAGATTTTCGCGCGTTGGGCCGCCATTCTGTCCGCGCGCGGGAAACCGCGGAGATGTTCGCGCGTTGGGCCGCCATTTTGTCCGCGCACGGGAAACCCCGGAGATGTTCGCGCGTTGGGCCGCCATTTTGTCCGCGCGCGGGAAACCGCGGAGATGTTCGCACGTTGGGACGCCATTTTGTACGCGCGCGGGAAACCGCGGAGATGTTCACGCGTTGGGCCGCCATTTTTTACGCGCGCGGGAAACCGCGGAGATGTTTGCGCGCTGGGCCGCCATTTTGTACGCGCGCGGGAAACCGCGGAGATGTTCGCGCGTTGGGCCGCCATTTTGTCCGCGCGCGGGAAACCGCGGAGATGTTCGCGCGTTGGGCCGCCATTTTGTCCACGCGCGGGCAACCGCGGAGATGTTCACGCGTTGAGCCGCCATTTTTTACGCGCGCGGGAAACCGCGGAGATGTTCGCGCGTTGGGCCGCCATTTTGTACGCGCGTGGGAAAACGCGGAGATGTTCGCGCGTTGGGCCGCCATTTTTTACGCGCGCGGGAAACCGCCGAGATGTTTGCGCGTTGGGCCGCCATTTTGTACGCGCGCGGGAAACCGCGGAGATGTTCACGCGTTGGGACGCCATTTTGTACGCGCGCGGGAAACCGCGGAGATGTTCACGCGTTGGGCCGCCATTTTTTACGCGCGCGGGAAACCGCGGAGATGTTTGCGCGTTGGGCCGCCATTTTGTACGCGCACGGGAAACTGCGGAGATGTTCGCGCGTTGGGCCGCCATTTTGTACGCGCTCGGGAAACCGCAGAGATGTTCGTGCGTTGGGCCGCAATTTTTTACGCGCGCGGGAAACCCCGGAGATGTTCGCGCGTTCGGCCGCCATTTTGTCCGCGCGCGGGAAACCGCAGAGATTTTCGCGCGTTGGGCCGCCATTCTGTACGCGCACGGGAAACCCCGGAGATGTTCGCGCGTTGGGCCGCCATTTTGTCCACGCGCGGGAAACCGCGGAGATGTTCGCGCGTTGGGCCACCATTTTGTACGCGCGCGGGAAACCGCGGAGATGTTTGCGCGTTGGGCCGCCATTTTGTACGCGCGCGGGAAACCGCGGAGATGTTCGCGCGTTGGGCCGCCATTTTGTCCGCGCGCGGGAAACCGCGGAGATGTTCGCGCATTGGGCCGCCATTTTGTCCGCGCGCGGGAAACCGCGGAGATGTTCACGCGTTGAGCCGCCATTTTTTACGCGCGCGGGAAACCGCGGAGATGTTCGCGCGTTGGGCCGCCATTTTTTACGCGCGCGGGAAACCGCCGAGATGTTTGCGCTTTGGGCCGCCATTTTGTACGCGCGCGGGAAACCGCAGAGATGTTCGCGCGTTGGGCCGCCATTTTGTACGCGCGTGGGAAACCGCGGAGATGTTCGCGCGTTGGGCCGCCATTTTTTACGCGCGCGGGAAACCGCCGAGATGTTTGCGCGTTGGGCCGCCATTTTGTACGCGCGCGGGAAACCGCAGAGATGTTCACGCGTTGGGACGCCATTTTGTACGCGCGCGGGAAACCGCGGAGATGTTTCCGCGTTGGGCGGCCATTTTTTACGCGCGCGGGAAACCGCAGAGATTTTCGTGCGTTGGGCCGCCATTTTGTACGCGCGCGGGAAACCGCAGAGATGTTCGCGCGTTGGGCCGCCATTTTGTACGCGCGCGGGAAACCGCGGAGATGTTCGCGCGTTGGGCCGCCATTTTGTCTGCGCGCGGGAAACCGCGGAGATGTTCGCGCGTTGGGCCGCCATTTTGTACGCGCGCGGGAAACCGCGGAGATGTTCGTGCGTTGGGCCGCCATTTTGTACGCGCGCGGGAAACCGCGGAGATGTTCGCGCGTTGGGCCGCCATTCTGTACGCGCGCGGGAAACCGCGGAGATGTTCGCGCGTTGGGCCGCCATTTTGTCCGCGCGCGGGAAACCGCGGAGATGTTCGTGCGTTGGGCCACCATTTTGTCCGCGCGCGGGAAACCGCGGAGATGTTCGCGCGTTGGGCCGCCATTTTGTACGCGCGCGGGAAACCGCGGAGATGTTCGCGCGTTGGGCCGCCATTTTGTCCGCGCGCGGGAAACCGCGGAGATGTTCGCGCGTTGGGCCGCCATTTTGTCCGCGCGTGGGAAACCGCGGAGATGTTCGCGCATTGGGCCGCCATTTTGTCCGCGCGTGGGAAACCGCGGAGATATTCGCGCGTTGGGCCGCCATTTTTGCCGCGCGCGGGGATACCGTGGGGACGCGGGTCGCGCATGCGCCCACTATTTTGTACATACACGGGTGGCCTCGGAGATGTGGGGGTTGTATGTGTTAACTATTTCTGGGCAAGTGCAGGCATTTTCTTTTTTTGTGCCACGTGGTTTTCACATATAAAAAAAAATAATTATGTATATACTGGGTTAACCGTGAAGTGAGACTTATTTTTGCCCAGTACATGGGTCAACCTGGAAGCATGGCTTCCTTGAACCGGGATGTTGTACGACATCCAACGTTATACCTAGGGTGCAGCATACTGGCTCGACCTTGAAGCATGCCTTCCTTGAGCCAGTACATGGGTCGACCCTGAAGTGCGACTTCTCGACCTGGGACGTAGGGAGACGTCCAGAATGTTAAGTGGTGTGTGTAGGTGGGTGTTAGACTTTCAGTTTTCGCCCTATTGCCGCCTGTGGGGTGGAACGGTAGCAGAGCGGTGTGAGACCCTGCCATCTATGGAGTGGTTGGGTGATTGATTTGATTACAGGTGTTGGTTGTGCATCCAACGCGTCGGAACCTGTGAATTTTTGCTTTTCTTCCTTCCGCTGGGCGGAATACGATCATCTCCACTTCCCTGGGCCGGGTGGCTGGTTGTGTCCGACAAGCTGAGGCTCAGGCTTGTGGTGCTGTGCCTCAGGAGGTGGTTATTCTCGTCACAGGATTCCTGCATCTGCTGCCCTTGGAGTCGCCGGTTGTGCTGACCAGATGTGGACTTGAAGGGGGAAGTGAAGCACCCGTACGTAACTCCTGCTCATCTTGTTGCCCAACTCCTGGGGAGGGGCCGTGCCCTTTGTCGAGTTCCCGCAGGACCTCCAAGGAGAGCGTGCTTGCCTCCCCTGGGGGCTCAGCCACGCGAACTCGTTCGAAAACTGGCCGCTGTGCATGACTCTCACACCTTGTTGATTGCCTACGCCATTGTCAAACAGTGACTTTCATATGTCGGTGCGTGCGTACAATTTGCTATGGGTGGGCTGTGCTGAGGGATACGCGGGTTGACCAGTTCTTCTCGGTGTACATGTGTTGTTGTTGTTCCCCTCGTCCCATACGTTTTTCCTTTAACCCCTCTCGGTGCGTGTACATATGTTCTCGCGGTAATTATTATTGTTGCCGGTTATTTGTTGATGTTGTTGTTGGAGGCACACTGGTTTTCTGTATTGTTACAGCCGGGACGGCTGTTTTTTTTACATGGGGGAGGGTGATGTAATGATTGTGGTATCATTACTGTGTGCAAACATATGATGTCACTGTGTCCTGGGAGCGTTACTACCATGTGGGTCTACACACACACATGACGTCATCCCGGCTGGAGGCGGGAATGACGTCAGGGCCGGTGCCGGACACGTGACCGGATCCCAGTGGGGGCTGGGGGTCCAGGGGGACCTCGGGGGGCACGTGGACAGCAGTGGGGGCTTCGAGAGGGTGCTCAAAGGGAGGCGTGGCCGGGGTGGGGCCTGGGCACGCCGAGGCCCATATAAGCAGCCGCCTCAGGAGGTTCGAGGCTGTTCCTGCGATAAATGAAGACGCCTCGTGAAGATGCCGACAGTTAGCGGACCTGCCAGCAGCCACCTGGCTGGGTCACGCTGGAGTAGCTAAGAGACAAGTGTGTGTGTTAGCTAGGGTAGGTCGGTGGTCACCACCCTATGTGTAGAGTAAGATAATTTCACACACATACACTAAATGACGTATTCCAGTACATTAGATATACACTATACACTACGTGTACATATTATAACGTCCTAGCTATGCACTATACACTACGTGATGTACCCTAACGTACTAGCTGTACACTACACACTACATGACGTACCCTAACGTACTAGCTACAAACTACACGCTACATGACGTACACTAACGTACTAGCTATACACTACATGACGTACACTAACGTACTAGCTATACACTACACACTACATGACGTACACTAACGTACTAGCTACACACTATACACTACATGACGTACACTAACGTACTAGCTACACACTATACACTACATGACGTACACTAACGTACTAGCTATACACTATACACTACATGACGTACACTAACGTACTAGCTATACACTATACACTACATGACGTACCCTAACGTACTAGCTATACACTACATGACGTACACTAACGTACTAGCTATACACTACACACTACATGACGTACCCTAACGTACGAGCTATACACTATACACTACGCACCGTCGCTGCGCCGCAAGCCCAGCGCCTGGCAGCTGCGTCCCAGCGGGGGGCTCTGCTCGTGTCGCGAGGGCAGGCACACCGCCTGCACGGACGGCCCCAACGTCGCCCGCCAGCCGAGCCGCAGCATGGCGACGTCGTGGGCTCCGGTCACCGCGGAGAACTTGGGGTCGACCAAGATGGCCGTCACGTCCAGACGCTCGCCGGAGGCCATGGTGCAGCTCCAGCTGTAGTTGCCGGGGCTGAACGGACGTGCACGCGCGTACACACACACACACATAAACACACACACACACATACCCACACATACACACACATACACACAATCGTACATACACACACACGTACACACACATGTACATACACGTACACACACGTACACACACACACATGTACACACACGTACATACACACACGTACACACATACACACACATACACACGTACATACACACACATACACACATACACACGCACATACACACACACGTACATACACACAGGTACATACACACACGTACAGACACACACACACACGTACACACATGTACACACACATACACACACACGTACACACACATACACACCCACACGTACATACACACACACACATACAGACACACACACATACACACACGTACGCGAAATCCAGAAAACGCGCGCGCCTATAGCGAGGGATTAATGGACACATTTAGTATCTCGAGAATTCAGAAGTGTAACACGTAGCGAGTGATTAACACATTTAGTAACTCGCGACATCCCGAACTCGAGGTGGCCGCTAGGTGACAACAACTCTGGGGGCCGCCGTGTCGAGGCCCAGGGGCTGACCTCTCCAGCAAGCAGCTCGCCGCGGTCACGACCCACGAGTCGGACAGGAGGGAGCCGAGGCACTGCAGCTGGTCCGTCTGCCTCGTGACGGTCACCTGCCAGGGCCAGGCGCTCAGGACGGACGCGTTGGCGACGCCGCAGCCTTGCGGGAGGGTGGCGGAGATCGCGGTTGGGTGGGTGAGTGGGGTTGGTAGGTGGGTGGAGTATGTGAGTGGGTGTGAGTGGATGAGTGGGTAGATGGTTGGGTATGTGAGTGGGTGGGTGGGTATTTCAGTGGATGAGTAGGTGGTTGGGTGGGGTGGGTGGGTATGTGAGTGGGTGAGTATTTGAGTGGGTGGGTGGGGTGGGTGGGTATGTATGGGTGTGGTAGGTGAGTATGTGAGTGGGTGAGTGGGTTGGTGGGGTGGGTGGGTATGTGAGTGGGTGGGTTTGTGAGTGGGTGGGTATGTGAGTGGGTGAGTGGGTGAGTGGGTAGGTGAGTGAGTGGGTGGGTATGTGAGTGGGTGAGTGGGTGTGTGAGTGAGTGGGTGGGTATGTGAGTGGGTGAGTGGGTGGGGTTGGTGGGTGGGGTTTGTGGATGGGTATGTGAGAGGGTGAGTGAGTGAGTGGGGTTGATGGGTGGGTGGGTGTTTTTCACGCATTAAGCTCTGCCCACCCGTCTGTTGAAACTGGAGGGTCACGATCCCGTCCGCTTTCATTATAATTTGCCCCTCTCCCGTTCTGACGAAGTGCGTCATTACGTCATCGCGTCATCAAAACGATTCGGCAAAGATGGAAGTGAAATCACGTCATCGGTACGATCCCGACCCTGACGATGCCTGCTGCTGCTGTGGGTCTCTATGGGTCTCTATAGGTCTCTATGGGTTTCTATGGGTCTCTGTGGGTTTCTCTGGGTCTCTATGGGTCTTTGTGGGTCTGTGTGGGTCTCTGTGGGTTTCTATGGGCCTTTATGTGTATGAATGTACAAGCTATGGTGATGATGATATCAGCAACATTGTTCACCTTCTATCATTTGTGACGGTCAGATCTCTATCGGAACAATAGCTACGTAGCATAGCTCATTGGGGCCTCACGTGCTACAAATAAAACACAGCTGATACATTCTTCTTCGCATTATATTTCCAAGTTTACTATGTTTGTTTTCTCATTCATTTGTAGCTGATGATGGTTGCTCGTGTTGCAATCGAAACGTCGTATTCTGTTATTATTTAATTTAATTTCTTTCGACGTCACTTTACCGAAAGAACCAAAGAGTCATTCCTGTAGTCACGAAAGCTTCGAATCTAGTTTCATAGCTGATACGTGTCGGGCAACGCGGCTTTGTGTTCAAGTGAGGTGCACTCGCCGCTGTTGCGCCGTACTCACTTTTCGAGACGTTAATCGGATTAATCGTTTCAAAGTTCACGACGACTCCGTTCCCTGTGTAATAAATAACAACGACAAACAAACAAAGTTAGTTAACTTCCTTTAACAAACTCGAGGTGCGAGTTTCGGGGAAGTTTCGTGGAGTTGGTAACGGTGCGATGGGGGGGGGGGGGGGTGGCGCTGATTAAGATTTGTGTAAGATTTGAGTAAGATCTCTGTAAGATTTGTGATGCTGAGTAAGATTTGTGTAAGATTTGTGACTCTGTGAAGTATTTGTGTAAGATTTGTGATGCTGAGTAAGATTTGTGGAAGATTTGTGATGCTGAGTAAGATTTGTGTAAGATTTGTGATGCTGAGTAAGATTTGTGTAAGATTTGTGATGCTGAGTAAGATTTGTGTAAGATTTGTGATACTGAGTAAGATTTGTGTAAGATTTGTGACTCTGTGAAGTATTTGTGTAAGATTTGTGATGCTGAGTAAGATTTGTGTAAGATTTGTGACGCTGAGTAAGATTTGTGTGAGATTTGTGACGCTGCGTAAGACATGGAGGGCGATGAGGGTGACGCGTGTCTGGTCGTCATCACAGAAGTGCGACTGCCCTCATGAAGGACACGAATCAAGTTTCACAAAGCCCCTCGGTCGCCTCACTCCTCCCGAGGGACAGACGACAACCTCCCTAACGTCATTGGTGTTGTTGTTGTCGTTGTTTTTGTCGTCTATTTAGTTGAATCTGTCTATCCCACCACCACTCCCGCTCCCTCGCAGAGGAGAAGGGGAACAGGGTGGACTCCCCCCCCCCCCCCCCCCCCCCCAGGGCGACACCTCCCAAGGACCCCCCCACCCCCCCCCCCCATGGCCTCACCTTGAAGGCCCCGAAGAGAGTCGAGCACGAGGTGGAGTCTGTTAGAGGACGAGCGCAAGCTGGGCGGTCTCACAACGCCGCCGCAGAACGCGCCAAGCGAGTCGCCGTTGTCGTCGTAGACGGTCAGCGACTCGTCCACGCAGTCGGGGTCGGAAGACAAACTGCCGCGGTGGGAGAGCGAGGGAGTGTAGTGTAGCAAGTAAGAGCACATGTGGTATGTAGTGAAGCACGTACGAGTATGTGCAGTGTATCATGTATGTGGCACGTTAGGAATGGATCACTCTTTTAATTATGTCCTTGTGCAGCAAGGGAGTAAAGTGTGGTTCTGTGAAAGTCCTGATGTGCTGTGCAGTGCATCAATGCATGTGTGTACAGCAGCATGTGATGACTGAGTTGGGCCTGTAGGTGGCTGGCAGAGTTAATGAATAACCGCACGTGTAAACCAGCCACGTGGTTAATGGTGACTCGGAAGAATTGCTGCGTGTAACACGTGCTGTTGCATTTTACAGAGTGACGGTGCTGTTCTTCACAAGATTAATATTAACCACAATAAATAAATGTGCTTGCCCTCGATTTGGAGCACCTGCCCACGTCCTTCATTTCGAGTGTCCAACATGTACGATGATGTGTAGTGTGTAGTGTAGCATGTGTGAACGTCTCACAAACGATACAAAGCAGTTCTAAAGAAATTATTCATCAATTTAGTATAGAAGTGCATAGACGTGTATAGTGTAGTGTATATTAATGCCATGTTTCGCAAGCAAAGAGAAGGGAGTGAATGACTGTGGCCGAGAAGATCCGAAGCTTCGTGCGGAGCGACAGACCAGGTAGCTTCCACACAGTGTTACGCAACCGATGAAAAGATATTGCCGCTCGACTGATTCGGAGTGAGACCTCTGCTGTCAAACCGGAACCGGTCATGAGCACACTGCCGAGGTTTGGGAAACTCTCCACTCTCTCCACTACTGCCCCACCAATGATTGGGAGTTGTGGGGATGGAGTGTCCGATGGTACAAAATACCCAGGCAGCTGCTTCGTTTTGGTGCCTGGGTATTTTGTACCATACACACACACACGTACACACACACACACGTATACACACACACATGTACACACACATACACACGCACGTACACACACACAGGTACACACACACAGGTACACACACACACAGGTACACACACGTACACACACACGTACTGTCGTGTATAGTCGCGTGTAGTGTATAGTGTAGTGTAGTCGTGTACAGTGTGTAGAACATGCCAAACTTCTACACGCGCCCTACGTGTACCGTTGACCAAAGCAAAAAGTATCCGTGGCCGCTACGTGGAACGTGGAGCTCAAACAACGGAGCATGGAACGGCTTGCGGAGCCCCCCCCCCCCGCCCCTCCCCAATCGAGAGCTCACTTGAACTGCTGGAAGCTCAGCTTGACCTCGTATCTGGGGTCCACCTGGACGGTCCATCGGCACAGGGCGCTCCTCTCACCGGCCGCGGAGAAGTTGGACAACGACAGCGATCCCTGGCTTCCAACGAGCGTCTCCCTGCACGGTGACCCCACTGGTGGTGGTGGTGGAGGGTTACGACGCATTCATACTTCCGTGATGCAGGTTTTATTTGTGGGGGGGGGGGGGGTTAGATCGTGTGAATACATAAATGCTGTGTCGTTAAACAATGCCACCACCCGACACGGCCAATTGGTAAGGTTTAGTGTTACGTGAACAGAACGTGCCAATTCGTTACTAGTGCAGCACTAGTTTGTAGTGTATAGTGTAGTGTAGAGCGTACACTATACACTACACGATACACTACACTATACACTATGTGTGCATTATGCGCTACACTATCCACTACAGAACGTGCCAATTCGTTACTAGTACAGTACTGGTGTGAAGTGTATTGGATAGTGTGGTATAGATTGTGTTGTGTATAGTGTAGTGTATAGTGTACACTCTACACTACACTATACACTACAGAACGTGCCAATTCGTTAATAGCACAGCACTAGCGTGTAGTGTCGTGCATAGTGTGGTATAGATTGTGGAGTGTATAGTGTATTGTGTATTGTATAGTGTGTACCAGAACAGCACACCGGTCGTGTGTTGGAGAGCCAAGGGTGAGGAACAGGAGAGGGGGGGGCGAAGAGTTTTCACGACGACACCAACACTGCGCGGCCGAGCCCCCCCAGCGCAGCGACGCGGAACGACGACAAACGTGCCGGTTGGCGGGAGCCTCGGCCCTTTTGCGAGTCCCACCAAAGTCGCGCCGCCACGTCAGGCGAGGGGGGGCCTCGCCGCGTTATCGCAGCAAGACAAACAAACAAACAGACAAAAAACTCACCCCTGTAAAACGCGCTGAAGTTGCCGGCGATTCCTCTCGTGTCGTACGTCGCCCTTACGGACAAGGTGTTGGAGGACGAGATGATGGGAGCGGGGACGCCATCGCGGTCGTACTTCCCCAGGAGCGGCGAGTCCACGGACGGCCCGTCGTAGACGTAGACGACCTCGGCGCCCGTCTGCAGACTTCATGCGCACGGACAGCAGAGAGCTGCTGCTGTGATACGCCCTGACGGTGACATTGTCCCGGCGCTGGTCGCCTTTTGGTGTTGTCTTCTGGTCTGGCGCTGTTTGAGACTAGGCTCTAAAGAAAGATGTCTCTGGTGTTGTGGACCAATCAGTTTCAAAGACAATGCATCATCATCATATACTACCAAAGCATGTTTTAGTTTGCATGTTCACCACAAAGTATACGTGGTTAATGCAGTGACATGATTCCTTGCAAAAGGTTTCTGTTTGGTCTTTTAACATCTTAACGCAATTGTTATATTGCCAGAAAGGGTAAAACCTATTTTAACGTTGAGCAGAGCTCTCGTTACGGCCGCGAACGCTTCAAAACCACAAAACGTTGTTGGCATTACGAATAAAAGATGGCCTCTGGAATAAAAGATGTCCGCCGAAATCAAAGATGTCCGCCACCAAAAAAAGTGGTGGCCATATATACTTGTATTCTTAGGGGTTTTTTTCGGTAAAGTCACGTAGGTAAAAAATTAAAATTAAATCTAGCTGTGATGGTCCCACCTGATGACGGAGACTTGTGTTGCCTCCGCAACGTCGTGATTTTTATTTTATTTTTATTTACTTTTATTAATTTACATTTTTTACCTACGTGACTTTACCAGAAAAAAAAGCCTAAGAATATGAGTTCTTGCAGTCACGAAAGCTTCAAATCTAGAACATATATACTTGTATTTTTACTCTCGGTATGTATGTTGTACGTGACAGTTTGTCCTATGACAATGCGACAGTTGCATTTGTTGAAGAACACCGCGTTGTAATGAATAAAATCGGGTAAAGCACAGCCAACGACAATGCGTGAGTTGCATATGAAGGCCGAACAAAGACTGAGGTGCGTGCGTAGCATCGACAAGCATCCAGCAGCATCCCAGTGGAGTGTGTGATGATGCTACGCAAAGGCAGCCGAACGACCGCTTGTCCCCACCTCGCTCGACGTAGTTCCATCGGCTCGATCGCGTTTATATATCCAATTCGCATCCGCGTTTTATAAAAACTTGTTCCGTAATGCGTTCATCACGTTACATATCGTCATGAAAACTGCGCGTTATAGAAGAACAGGCTACATGTGTGGATTTACAATGCACTTTACTCTCCAACAAACCGGTGGGCTGAAGTAGTAACTAACTGGCGCGTTGTTTACGTGACAAACCTGTCTGGCTGTGTCAGTGGTGGGGGTTATGATGTATTTATACTTCCATAATGCAGGTTTTTTGGGGTTAGATCGCGTAAACATATGAAAGTGTCATTAAACCCGCCACCACCCGACACAGTCAATGAGTAAGGTTTGTCATGTAAACACAACATGCCAGTTTGTCACTTGTACATCACACCGGTGTGTTGGAGAGCCAAGCCACAACATTCACAATCTGAGTACGACGTTTAGCCAGTAATTACAACTAGCTTCATCAGGCGACAGCCAGATTTGTAAATCTACACTCTAAACTAAACACTACACTACACACTACACTATACACTACACTACACACTCGTGCTGTACTAGTAACGAATTAGCCACGTTCTGTGTCGGGTGGGGCGATATAACCCCAAAAAAACCTCTGTCATTGATGATATTGGTGGCGAAAGCCTCCTAGTTGTTAAACCGACGTTTTTACTGACGCACTCTAACGTGTACGTTGAACCTCCATCGCCGTTGTACGAAGGCCGTCCGTGCTCATCGGCGGAGCGGACTCTAATAGCCCGAAGCGGGTCGTGACGTGGGGATAAACCTGGAGGCCAGAGCGAGTGCACATATCCCTGCCAACCCCCCCCCCCTCCGCACCACTTACCTGAACGTCTGGAAGCGAAGGATAACGGCCGTCCCCACGGCGCCGGTGATGGTCCAGAGGCAGTCGCCGACGTTGGGTCTCGCGAGTAAATCGGCGAACTGGATGGTGCCGCTCGCGTTGGCGAGGTTAACGCGACAGACGCCGCCTAGAGCATCGCGGGACACTCTTTAGTTACAGAATTTCACTGAACGAATCGTAAAAAGGTGGAGGACATCCGAGTCGCCAAGAGATTCATTCAATCCGGCATCAGAGACACCAAGAGATTTGTTGAAGCCGGCATCAGAGTCACCAAGATATTTGTTTAAGCTGCCATCAGTCGTCAATTGAGTTGTTGAAGCCAGTAGAATGTTTTTTTACAAATTCGCCAGGAAACGTGGGGAGATGCATGAAGATGTTTCACAGGCGCAATTAAACGTGGTGAGCGTGAGGGCTGAGAACAAGGATGAGGGCTGGTTGGCTGAAATGGCGAGATATGACGGCTGTGATGTGCGATGAGAGGGTCCCAGTTTGGTTGAAGGAAAGTGTATAATGTAGTCTAAAGTAGTGTAGTGTATAGTAGTGTTGCGTATAGTACTGTATAGCAGTGTAAAGTGTAATGTATAGTGGTGTAGTGTTTCGTGGTGTAGTGTATAGTAGTGTAGTGGATAGTGGTGTATAGTGTAGTGTATAGTAGTGTAGTGTACAGTGTGGTGTATAGTCTAGTGTATTATGCAGTGTATAGTGTAGTGTATAGTGTAGTGTATCGTGTAGTGTATAGTGTAGTGTATCGTGTAGTGTATAGTGTAGTGCATAGTATAGTGTATAGTATAGTAGTGTATAGTAGTATCGTGTATAGTAGTGTATAGTAGTGTAGTGTTTCGTGGTGTAGAGTATAGTAGTGTAGTGTATAGTGTAGTGTATAGTAGTGTAGTGTATAGTAGTGTAGTGTATAGTAGTGTAGTGTATAGTGTAGTGTATAGTGTAGTGTATAGTGTAGTGTATAGTGTAGTGTATGGTGTAGTATATAGTGTAGTGTATAGTGTACTGTATAGTGTAGTGTATGGTGTAGTATATAGTGTAGTGTATAGTGTACTGTATAGTGTAGTGTATAGTGTAGTGTATAGTGTAGTGTATAGTGTAGTGTATAGTACAAGATGGTGGCGAGGCTGTTGTGTGGGGGCCGAGTGCTGGGGCACGAGAAAGAGGGAGGACCCAGCGATGGCGGTCACTGAGATGAGGATGCTGCGGTGGATGTTGGTGCGTGACAAACCAAAGGTTAAAGCGGTTGGGAAATGAAGAAGCAAGAGGAAAACTCGAGGCGGTGGAACTCACAGAGGAGACGAGAGAGATGAGAGAAGGGGGACGGGCTCTGGGTGTGGTTCGGTCGTGCGGTAGAGGCGACAGGAAAATTGCTTGTGTCAGAGGGTGGCGAGCGATGCAAGGGGATCGAGAGGAAGAAAGGTAGAAGAAGAGGTGGGGTAGGTGGGGGGCCGATGTGGTGGGTGCGATGAGGTGGGTGCGATGTGGTGGGTGCGATGTGGTGGGTACGATGTGGTGGTGCGATGTGGTGGTGCGATGTGGTGGGTGCGATGTGGTGGGTGCGATGTGGTGGTGCGATGTGGTGGTGCGATGTGGTGGGTGCGATGTGGTGGGTACGATGTGGTGGTGCGATGTGGTGGTGCGATGTGGTGGGTGCGATGTGGTGGGTGCGATGTGGTGGTGCGATGTGGTGGGGGCGATGTGGTGGGTGCGATGTGGTGGGTGCGATGTGGTGGGGGCGATGTGGTGGGTGCGATGTGGTGGTGCGATGTGGTGGGTGCGATGTGGTGGGTGCGATGTGGTGGGGGCGATGTGGTGGGTGCGATGTGGTGGGTGCGATGAGGTGGGTGCGATGTGGTGGGTGCGATGTGGTGGGTGCGATGTGGTGGGTGCGATGTGGTGGGTGCGATGTGGTGGGTGCGATGTGGTGGGTACGATGTGGTGGTGCGATGTGGTGGGTGCGATGTGGTGGGGGCGATGTGGTGGGTGCGATGTGGTGGTGCGATGTGGTGGGTGCGATGTGGTGGTGCGATGTGGTGGGTGCGATGTGGTGGTGCGATGTGGTGGGTGCGATGTGGTGGGTGCGATGTGGTGGTGCGATGTGGTGGGTGCGATGTGGTGGTGCGATGTGGTGGGTGCGATGTGGTGGGTGCGATGAGGTGGGTGCGATGTGGTGGTGCGATGTGGTGGGTGCGATGTGGTGGGTGCGATGTGGTGGTGCGATGTGGTGGTGCGATGTGGTGGGTGCGATGTGGTGGGTGCGATGAGGTGGGTGCGATGTGGTGGGTGCGATGTGGTGGGTGTGATGTGGTGGTGCGATGTGGTGGGTGCGATGAGGTGGGTGCGATGTGGTGGGTGCGATGTGGTGGTGCGATGTGGTGGGTACGATGTGGTGGGTGCGATGTGGTGGGTGCGATGTGGTGGGTGCGATGTGGTGGGTGCGATGTGGTGGGTGCGATGTGGTGGTGCAATGTGGTGGGTGCGATGTGGTGGGTGCGATGTGGTGGGTGCGATGTGGTGGGTGCGATGTGGTGGGTGCGATGTGGTGGGTGCGATGTGGTGGGTGCGATGTGGTGGGTGCGATTTGGTGGTGCAATGTGGTGGTGCGATGTGGTGGTGCGATGGGATCGTGGTAACCCAACGAGCTTAAAGGAGGAAGGAGTATGTGGGTCTCTGTGGAAGTCCATGGGTCGGTGTGGGGGTCCATGGGTATCTGTACGAGTCTGTGGGTATTTGTGGGAGTCCGTAGGTATATGTATATATCTCTGGGTCTCATTGTAGGTCCGTGGATCTCTTTGGGTGTCTGTGGGTATCTGTACGAGTCTGTGGGTATCTGTGGAAGTCCATGGGTATCTGTACATCTCTGGGTCTCCGTGCGAGGCCATAACGTGAGAAGCCGCTTGTCAATAAAATTCTCAAGCCAAGTGGACGAGTCACAGCGGGCGCTGCCTCTGCCCAACCCACAACTTCCGTTGTGCACAGACTCAGCCCATCCACCAGGGGGGGAGGGGCTGTAATGTCACAGTTGTTGTGACGTCATTGCACCGCGGTTACCAGGAAGCCAATCATATGTGGGCGATGTCACAATTGGGGAGGGGCATTTGCGAGGGTGTTGGTGGGGGTTGTAATGGCGTCGTGTATGTAAGTGGAATAATAATAGTAGTAGTTAGATGATGTTGTTGGCTGATGTTGTTACAAATGCTCAGCATTTAGTTACCTCTTAGGTTGCCGTAGCTGAGGACGTAGCCAAATGAATCATAGTCTCCCACCCCGTAGAGGTAGAGCCCAAAAGGCTGAGTCGCGTGTTCCACCTGGAACTGCTGATTCCCAAGTCCCAGGTTCAGCTCCCCGGCCACGAACTGGAGGTCGTTTGTCCGGACCCACTGGATCTTATTGCACAGTGGCTCGTTGTTCATGACGATCCCACATTTGTCTGCATCCTTGGCGATCACGATTAACATGTTTATAAAATCTGGTTGAGTCGCAAACAGGTACATGTTAGAGAACTTGCTGGTCGGTATGATGTTCATCTGGAACGGGTCCATGGAATACCATAGAGTTGTAGACCCACCCTGGCATATGTACATGACCCCTACGCTTACAGACGAGTTAATAGACAAAGTCTGGTTTGCATATACAGGTACGCTGATGCGACCGTAATTGGTCAACGTGTAGGTTGTTAAATTCCCAGCGACACTGACATTGACACTGACGCTCGCGCTTGTAGGCGAGGTGATTATGACGCTGTCGTTTGTTGACTTGATGGACACAGGGAAGACCAGGTAAGAGGAGCCCCACTGCGAAACTGGCAATAGCTGCTCTGTCACAAAATTGCAGCCTGTGTGGACAATCATGCACCAATCTCCACTGTACACGGCCACAGGTTGACTCGAGAGTACCCTGGTCCCAGTCAGAGAGGATCCTTGGAACTGCACGACCTGGTTGTCTTGTAGAGTGATGTTCAGTTCGTTGGAGTACGTTACACCATTGAAAATAACATTGCTGTTCAAAATCATCTGCACCGTCACGTTGTTGTAGGGACTGACTATCGCGAATTCGTTAATTACCGAACCAGACACAGGAGCGACTACGTAATATTCTGTTCCCAGCTCCTGCTCAGCGATCATCATGAATCCATCGGTAGTTCCAATTCGTTTGGACATGCCCCACACTGAGATGTCACTGTCAGAACGAACGGACACGACCTTGTTGGTGACGATGCCGTTCTCTGTGATCTCTGCCGTTACCGGGATGGATACATTGCCGACGGAGAAGGGAGGCAGGAGGATGGCCTGCGAGAAGTTCACCGCGGGGATCGAGACGGTGACCTGAGCGTTGCTGTCGTAGCTGACGAAGTCCACCACAAGCGCGTCGGCTACATTCCCGGCGTTCTGCATAAATGCTCCGAAGAACTGACGTCCCACACTGCTCCCGGCTCCGTTCCCTGCAAGCAGTGACAACAACATCAGTGCAAGAAAGAAAGGTTAACTTTTGAGAATAAGGCCACCAGATCGACAATAAAAAATCACCCTTCATGGTGGTCGATAAGCAGGAGGGGAAAAAACTAACTCTTAAAGCGACAAACTTAAAGCGTCGTTTGCTTTTAGTGAGGTTTTATTGTCTCGATGTAGGCGTTGTTAACGTTTGACGCATAAAGCGAACATTTCACCACAGTGGCTACTTCGCTGAGCCGCTATCATTTGCGATTGAGAATGAGGCCACGAGGGCGACCGATAAAAACAAAAAACGATTCCTCGCTCAACGCGGCAATAAGCGGGGATTCAACATTTTTTTCAACGCTTAACGCGAATAAACACTTTGAGCGCAAACGAGAGCTTAAAGTGTGCGTGGTAAATGCAGACTTTACTCCTTTCAAAAGGTATCACACCTATTTTGCGTTTTAAAATCCTACTACACCTCTTGTTTTGCTATTGCCAGAGAAAAGTATAAAAACCCAAACTTATTTTTCTGTCGCTTTGATACTGGCACGAACGAAAAGTTCCCATAGGTAGAGGACTTCGTGTTACACAAACGCTTTATCCACGGGTCAAGCCTGCACCGGCTAAAGCAGCAAGCCGGAGCCACCCGTGCCTGTCTCAACTCGGAGTGGCCTCACCACAGGGAGAGAGAGAGAGAGAGAGACGCAGACTCCAAATATTCAGCGACAGGCATCAACAGGGTCGAGATCAAACCCACGACCTCCTGCATACTGGGCGAGGTAGTTAACATCTCACCCCCTTTAAACAAACACAAAATAAGTGAACAGACTCGACCCGACGGGTCAAGTCTGCGCCGGCTACAGCAGCAGCAGCATCGTCAGAATCAGCAAGGCAGAGCCACCCCGTGCCAGTTTCTCAGCGACAAAATCGCGTCCGACGCGGAAAGAGCGCAAGCGGCGGCGGAATTCTACGGGCGCCACGCGGCAGGGCGTGGTGTCGCGAGCCGGCCCCCTTGCGTCAACTCGCGCGAGTTGACGCAAGGGGGCCGCATCGCGTACGCGACTCCTCTCCACCCCCTGGGCCGCGGAAGTTGAGGCACGCAAAATGTGAGACCCGTCGAATGTTCGAGAGGGCTGGGAACGAGGAAGCGAGCGCGGTGGGCGGTGTGGGTTGAGTGCAGTGCAGACGTGGGGTTGAGAAACGGACGACACGTGGGGAGAGGAGGGGTGGGGGGTGGTAGAGATGCATCGTGCTCGATGCGGGTTAGGAGGAAGAAGAGGAGGCAGGTGGCATTTGCGGAGGGCGTCGCGTTAAGCGATGCGGGGGGGGGGGGGGGGGAACCGCATTAGCTTTGATACATCGGTAATGCTTTCGCGAGCAAATGTCATCGATGGTGTAATTTAATTTTTAGTAAGGTTTAGTGTCACTAAACATCACTAGTGTGTAGTGTAGTGTATAGTATGGTGTATAGTGTAGTGTATAGTGTAGTATGTAGTGTAGTATATTAGTATACCACTAACCGCTGTGTTGGAGAGCAAATCTTCAATGATTGCAATCTGAGTTCGACGTTTCGCCAGTAATTACAACCAGCTTCATCAGGCGACAGCTGTCGCGTGGTGGCGAGTTTCACGGCACATTTATAGTTTCGCGATCTAACTCAAAACGCATTTAGCAAAAATGCAATTTCAGTTTAGTTTCACCATCGGTCTCTATGTTTGTATTTGTCTCTGGGTCTTTGGGGGTATGGGTGGGAGTCTGTGTGTATCTGTACATCTCTGGGTCTCCGTGCGAGGTCAAAATGTGAGAAGCTGCCGGCAACACATTCCAGTTTCTCAATTAAATACTCAAGCCAAGTGGACGAGTCACAGCAGACGTCGCCTCGGCCCAACCCACAACTTCAGTTGCTTTAAGACGTGGGCTTTCGCGACCAATATCATGCACAATAGAGTTTTTTTGGGTTAGATCGCGTATTGTAAATGTTGTGGCTTGGCTCTCCAACACACCAGTGTGCTGTACTGGTTACGAATTGGCATGTTCTGTCTACGTGACAACCCTTACTAGTTGGCTGTGTCGGGTGGTGGCGGATTTTAACGACACATTTATATATTTACGCGATCTAACCCAAAAAACTTCAGTTGTGCACAGACTCAGCCCATCCACCAGGGGGGAGGAGCTGTAATGGCACAGGCGTTGTGACGTCATTGCACCACGATAACAGGAAGCCAATCAGATGTGAGCGAGGTCACAATTGGGGAGGGGCGTGGCGAGGATGGTGGTGGGGATTGTAACGGCGTCGTGTATGATAGTGGAATAATAATAATGGTCGTAGTAGAAGTTAGATTTGCGATGCTCCAGGTCTGGCTGATCTTGGTACAGATGCTCAGCGTTTAGTTACCTCTTAGGTTGCCGTAGCTGAGGACGTAGCCAAATGAATCATAGTATGCCACCCCGTAGAGGTAGAGCCCGAACGGCTGAGTCGCGTGTTCCACACGGAACTGCTGATTCCCACCTCCCAGGTTCAGCTCCCCGGCCACGAACAGGAGGTCGTTTGTCCGGACCCACTGGATCTTATCGCACAGTGTCCCGTTGTTCATGACGATCTCACATTTGTCTGCATCCTTGGCGATCACGATTAAAATGTTCGTAAAATCTGGTTGAGTCGCAAACAGGTACATGTTAGAGAACTTGCTGGTCGGTATGATGTTCATCTGGAACGGGTCCATGTAATCCCCTAGAGCCGGATACCCTCCCTGGCATATGTACATGACTCCTACGTTTACAGATGAGTTAATAGACAACATCTGGTTTGCATATATAGGTACGCTGATGCGATCGTAATTGGTCAACGTGTAGGTTGTTAAATTCCCAGCGACACTGACATTGACAATGACGCTCGCGCTTGTAGGCGAGGTGATTATGACGCTGTCGTCTGTTGACTTGATGGACACGGGGAAGACCAGGTAAGAGGAGCCCCACTGCGATACTGGCAAAAGCTGCTCTGTCACAAAATTGCAGGCTGTGTGAACATTGATGCACTGATCTCCACTGAACACGGCCACAGGTTGACTCGAGAGTACCCTGGTCCCAGTCAGAGATGATCCTTGGAATTGCACGACTTGGTTCTCTTGTAGAGTGATGTTCAGTTCGTTGGAGTACGTTACACCGTTGAAAATAACATTGCTGCTCAAAATCATCAGCACCGTCACGTTGTTGTAGGGACTGACTATCGCGAATTCGTTCAGGGTTAAACCACCAGACACAGGAGCGACTACGTAATATTCTGTTCCCAGCTCCTGCTCAGGGATCATCATGAATCCATCGGTCGTTGCAATTCGTTTGGACATGCCCCACACTGAGATGTCACTATCAGAATGAACGGACACGACCTTGTTGGTGACGATGCCGTTCTCTGCGATCTCTGCCGTTACCGGGATGGATACATTGCCGACGGAGAAAGGAGGCAGGAGGACGGAGCTCGAGAAGTTCTCCGCAGGGACCGAGACGGTGACCTGAGCGCTGCTGTCGTAGCTGATGAAGTCCACCACAAGCGCGTCGACTCCCTCCAGATAGTTCTGCATAAATGCGCCGAAGAACTGACGTCCCACACTGCTCCCGGCTCCATTCGCTGCAAACAGTGACGACAACATCAGTGCAAGCGAAAGAGGTAAACTTTTGAAAATAAGGCCACGAGATGAACGGTAAAGATCACCCTTCATGGTGGTCGTTAAGCAGGAGAGGAAGAAAAAAACTCTTGAAGCGACATAAAAAGCGTCGTTCGTTTTTAGCGGGGTTTTGTTTTTCAATTTAGGCGTTGTTAACGTTTGACACATAAAGCGAACACCTCGCCACGGTGGCCGCTTCGCTGAGCCGCTATCATTTGCGATTAAGAATGAGGCCACGAGGGCGACTGATAAGAACAAAAAATAATTGCTCACTTTACCCGGCAACAAGCGGGGATTAGAAAACTAAAAAAAACGCGTCAAGTGCAAAAACACTTTCAGTGCAAATGAGCGCTTAAAGTGTGCGTGGTTAATGAAGAGTTCACTCCTTGCAAAAGGTATCACACCTATCGGGTATTTGGAGATCTTATCACACCTTTTGTTTTGCTATTGCCAGAGAAAAGTATAAAAACGTAATCTTATTTTTCCGCAGCTTTGATGCTGGATGAAGGAAAAGTTCCCATAGGTAGAGGACGTCGTGTTACACGCACGCCCCGTCCACGGGGAAGCCTGCGCCGGCTACAGCAGCTCACCGCGCGGACAGAGAGAGACACGCAGACTCCAAATATACATAGCGGCAGGCATCGTCAGGGTCAAGATCGAACGCACGACCTCCTGCACACCAGGCGAGCAAGTTAACATCTCACCATGGGGACAAAGAGAGACACGCAGACTCCAAATATACAGTGGCAGGCATCGACAGGGTCGGGATCGAACCCACGACCTCCTGTATAGTAGACGAGGTAGTTAACATCTCCTATCCACCGTGATGATGATGATGAAAAAAAGAGATACAGACTCCAAATATACAGCGGTAGGCATGTTCAAGATCGGGATCGGACCCCTGAAACCTCCTGTATACCAGGCAAGGTAGTTAACATCTAACCACAGGGACAGAGAGAAACACGCAGACTCCAAATCTACAGCGGCAGGCATCGACAGGGTCGGGATCGAACCCACGACCTCCTGTATACTAGGCGATGTAGTTAACATCTCCTATCCACCGTGATGATGATGAAAGAAAGAGACACAGACTCCAAATATACAGCGGTAGGCATGTTCAAGGTCGGGATCAGACCCCTGAAACCTCCTGTATACCAGGCAAGGTAGTTGACATCTAACCACAGGGACAGAGAGAGGCACGCAGACTCCAAATTTACAGCGGCAGGCATCGTCAGGATCGGGATCGAACCCACGACCTCCGTGCACACCAGGCGAGGTAGTTAACATCTCACCCCCTTTAAACAAACACAAAACAGGTGAACACACTCGTTCCACGTGTCAAGCCTGCGCCGGCTACAGCAGCAGCAGCAGCATCGTCAGAATCAGCAAGGCAGAGCCACCGGCGGCGGTGGAATTCCACAGGCGCCACGCGGTAGGGAGTGGCCACCTCGTGACCACCACGTGACCACCACGTGGCTACCACTTGACCACCACCACGTGACCACCACGTGGCCACGTCGTGACCACCACTCTGTGACCACCACGTGGCTACCACTTGACCACCACCACGTGACCACCACGTGGCTACCACTTGACCATCACCACGTGACCACCACGTGGCCACGCCATTACCACCACGTGACCACCACGTGACTACCACTTGACCACCACCACGTGACCACCACGTGACCACCACGTGGACCGCCGCGCACCATGCCTCGAGCTCGATGCGGGTTAGGAGGAGGAGGAAGAAGAGGCGGAAGACGAAGGGGGGGGGGGGGGGGGGAGGAGGAAGGGGGTAAAACCGCGTTAGCTTTGACGCGCCGGGAGCGCTTTTGCAAGCAAATATCGTCCACGGTGTGGGGTGGGTTTTTTTATTTGCCGAGTAAGGTTTTAGTGCCATGTAAAACAGGACGCGAACAATTCGTTACGAGTACAGCACTAGTGTGCAGTGTAGTATAGATAGTGTAGTGTATAGTGTAGTATCAATTGTGTAGTGTATAGTGCAGTGTTTAGTGTAGTGTGTAGTGTAGCGTATAGTAGCGTATAGTAGTGTATAGTGTAGTGTATAGTGCAGTGTAGTAGTGTAGTGTAGCGTATAGTAGCGTATAGTGCTGTATATTGTGTAGTGTATAGTGCAGTGTATAGTGTAGTGTATGGTATAGTGTATAGTGTAGTGTATAGTGCAGTGTATAGTATAGTGTATAGTGTGTGTTTAGTGTAGTATATAGTGTAGCGTATAGTGCAGTGTATAGTGTAGTATATAGTGTAGTATGTAGTGTATAGTGTAGTATATAGTGTGTTGAAGAGCAAATCCATAAACGTGACGTTAAACCCGCCACCACCCGACACAACCAATCAGTAAGGTTTAGTGTCATGTAAACAGAACATACTAATTCGTTACTAGATCAACACTAGTGTGCAGTGTATTGTGTAGTGTATATAGTGTATGGTGTAGTGTATAGTGTAGTGTATAGTGCAGTGTATAGTGTAGTGTACGTATAGTAGTGTTTAGTAGTGTATAGTGTAGTGTATAGTGTAGGGTATAGCGTAGGGTATAGTGCAGTGATTAGTGTAGTATACTAGTACAGCACTAGTGTATAGTGTAGTGTATAGTGCAGTGTATAGTGTAGTGTATCGTGTAGTATACTCGTACAGCATTAACCGCTGTGTCGGACAGCAAATCCACAACGTTTACAATCTGAGTTCGAAGTTTCGCCAGTAATTACAACCAGCTTCATCAGGCGACAGCTGTCGCGTGGTGGCGAGTTTCATGGCACATTTATAGTTACGCGATCTAACTCAAAATGCGCTAAGCGAAAAATGCTATTTCAGTTCAGTCTCATCATGGATCTCTCTGTTTGTATGAGTTTCTGGGTCTTTAGGGGGTCTGTATGGGTCTCTGAGTGTGGATATCTATGGGTCTCTGTGGGTCATTATGTATATCTGTGGGTCTGTATGGGTCTCTATAAGTATGGGTCTCTGGGTCTCTATGGGTTTGTATGGCTCTCTGTAGGTCTCTGTTAGTCTGTATGGGTCTCTGTGGGGCTGTATGGGTCTCTGTATAGATCTCTATGGGTCTGTATGGGTCTCTGTGGGGCTGTATGGGTCTCTGTGGGTATGTATGGGTCTCTGTATGAGTCTCTATTGGTCTATATGGGTCTCTGTGGGTCTGTATGGGTCTCTGTGGGTCTGTATGGGTCTCTTTATGGGTCTCTGGGTCTGTATGGGTCTAAATGGGTCTCGGTATAGGTTACTATGGATCTTTATGGGTCTCTGTTGGGCTGTATGGGTCTCTGTGGGTCTGTATGGGTCTCTGTATGGGTCTCTATATGTCTGTATGGGTGTCTGTGGGGTTTGTATGGGTCTCTGTATAGGTTATTATGGGTCTGTATGGGTCTCTATGGGTCTGTATGGGTCTGTATGGGTCTGCATTAACCACGCTGTCATAATATTTGGCTTAGGCTCCAAATGTCCACGCGATAAGCCTCTCACGTTGGGGCCACTGTTGTTTGACATCGTTTGCCATCGGCAGGGTCGTGTTTTTTCCGCAATATTTTGCTGTCTTTTCTTGGATTTTCTGTTTGCACTTAGTCACATATTCACTTTAAGATGTTTCTTGTTCTTGTTCATGTTTTTGTTTTTTCTTTGTTGCGGTTGCACCCGATTCAAGTGCCGAATGGCTCACAGGGCTATACCTAATAAATAAACTTGAACTTGAACTTATCTGATTTAAAAACAAAAACAGCTTTAATGGTGGGGGCCAGACAATGTCGAAAACAAAAAACTGGTTTAGTCTTTGTCGTTTTTTGAACTATGCATGGCACGTGCGTTTGCAAAACAAAAGAAACGAGAGACCACTTTAACTGATCGCGATCCGTCAACGCGGTCCTCTCGTTCCGACATGCAAATCGACTCTCGTTTTTTGTTAATCTTTTCTTTTCTTCCGCGAAGTTCAAATAGTACAGTGGGGGCTCCCTTTGGCTCGTGAGAGACAGGTCGCATCGGCAAAGGGCTTCATCTGTTGGGTGTTCGAACACTTGAACACACCTCGTGTAAGCCAATCAGTTTCAAAGTCAATGCATATAATGAGTCTCTATGAGTATGGGTCTGTGCGTCTGTATGGGTCTCTGTGGATCTATATAGATCTCTGTGGGTCTCTGTTGGTCCGTATGAGTCTCTATGAGTATGGGTCTCTATGAGCATTGGCCTATGGGTCGTTGGGGACTTGCATGGGTCTCTATGAGTATGGGTCTCTGTGGATCTATGGATGTGTATGGGTCTCTGAGTATGGGTCTCTATGGGTCTGTATGGTTCTCTGTAGGTCTCTGTGATTTTGTATGGGTCTCTGAGTATGGATCTCTGGGTCTGTATGGGTTTCTGTATGGGTCTCTGTATGGGTCTCTGTGGGGCTGTATGGGTCTCTGAGTATCGGTTTCTGTGGGTCTTTATGGGTCTCTGAGTATGGGTCTCTGGGTGTGTATGGGTCTCTGTATGGGTCTCTATGGGTCTCTGTAATGGTCTCTGTGGGTCTGTATGGGTCTCTGTGGGGCTGTATGGGTCTGTATGGGTCTCTGTATGAGTCTCTATGAGTATGGGTCTCTGTGGGTCTACATGGATCTATGTGGGTCTGTATGGGTCTCTATGAGTATTGGTCTCTATGTTTGTATTGGTCTCTGGGTCTTTGGGGGTCAGTATGGGTATCTATGAGTATGGATCTCTGTGGATCTGTGTGGTTCTCTGAGTGTGGGTCTCTATGGATCTCTGTATGGGGTTCTATGAGTATGGGTCTCTATGGATCTCTATATGGGTCTCTATGGGTCTCTGAGTGTGGGTCTCTATCGGTCTCTGTATGGGTCTCTATGGGTCTCTGAGGGGTCTGTGTGGGTCTCTGTGACGTCTGTATGGGTCTCTGTGGGTCTGTATGGGTCTTTATGTGTCTCTGAGGGGTCTGTATGGGTCTCTGTGGGTCTGTATGGGTCTTTATGGGTCTCTGTGGGGTCTGTATGTGCCTCTGTATGAGTCTCTATGAATATGGGTCTCTATGAGTATGGGTCTCTGTACGTCTATATGAATCTCTGTGGGTCTGTATGGATCTGTATGGGTCTCTATGAGAATTGGTCTCTATGTTTGTATGGGTCTCTGGGTCTTTGGGGGTCAGTATGGGTCTCTATGAGTATGGGTCTCTGTGGGTCTGTGTGGTTCTATGAGTGTGGGTCTCTATAGGTCTCTGTATGGGTTTCTGTGGGTCTGTATGGGTCTCTATGGGTCTGTGTATGGCTCTCTGTGGGTCTGTGTGGTTCTCTGAGTGTGGGTCTCTGTAGGGGTCTCTATGGATCTGCATTAACCACGCTGTCACAATATTTGGCTGAGGCTCTAAACGTCCACGCGATAAGCCATTCACGTTGGGGCTGCTATCGTTTGACACCGGCAAAGTCGCTTATCTGATTATAAAAAACTTTTTTTTTAAACAAAAACAGCTTTAGTGGTAAGAGGCCTGAGAAAGTGCTACAAGTTAGAGATGTCGAAAACCAAGAAAACAGGTTTAGTCTTCTTTTGAACTATGCATGGCACGTGGGTTTGCCCAAAATAAAAATAGTAGTCGATTTGCGTGACGGAACTTGGGACCGCTTTAACTTCTCTATAATCGCTTTCTCTTCTTCTCCGAAGTTCAAATAGTATCGTGGGGGGAGGGGGGGGTGCTCCCTTTTGCTCGTGAAAGACAGGTCGGGTCGGCAAAATGCTTAATCTGTTGGGTATTCGAACACCTGAACACGCCTGGTCTAAGCCAATCAGTTTCAAAGGCAATGCGTGTAACATTATTATTGATAATATTATCAGAGCGATGTTTTTGTTAGCATGATCACCACGAATACTGTGTGTGTGTGTGGTTAATATAGAGACGTGATTCCTTCCAAAGTGATTCGTGAACACGCCTGTTCTAATTCTTGGGTTTTTTTCGGTAAAGTCACGTAGGTAAAAAATTAAAATTAATAAAAGTAACAGGTGGAATTCCTCCCCGTAGAGGGTATTAATTCTAGATTTGGGGAGGAATTCCACCTATGTTACTTTTATTAATTTTCATTTTTTACCTACGTAGACTTTACCGAAAAAACCTAAGAATATGAATCATTGCAGTCGCGAAAGCTTCAAATCTAGAACGCCTGTTCTAAGCCAATCAGTTTCAAAGGCAATGCGTGTAACATTATTATTGATAATATTATCAGAGCAATGTTTTGTTAGCATGATCACGACGAATACTGTGTGTGTGGTGAATGTAGAGACGTGATTCATTGCAAAGTGATTCGTGAACACGCCTGTTCTAAGCCACTCAGTTTCAAAGGCACGACTCCTGCTGTATTATGGACAGAAAGCGAACAAACACCACCTATCATAATCATAATCAGTAGTAGCATTTTAATTTTCGTGGCTCCTGATACTCGCCCGAAAACAAGGTACCCCCATGATGTAGCTGCCTCTCACCCCAAACTATAAGTGTGTACAATGTGTGTGCACCTGTGTGTGTGCACATGTGTGTACCTGTGTGTGCGTGTTCCTGTGTGTGTCTGTGTGTGTGTACCTGTGTGTGTACCTGTGTGTACCTGTGTGTCTGTACCTGTGTGTGTGTGTACCTGTGTGTGCCTGTGTGTGTGTGTACCTGTGTGTCTGTACCAGTGTGTGTGTACCTGTGTGTGTGTACCTGTGTTTGTGTGTACCTGTCTGTGTGCCTGTGTGTGTGTGTGTACCTGTGTGTCTGTACCAGTGTGTGTGTACCTGTGTGTGTGTACCTGTGTTTGTGTGTACCTGTCTGTGTACCTGTGTGTGTGTCTGTTCCTGTGTTTATGTCTGTGTGTGTGTGTATGAAACGTGGACCCCCCTAATGGAGCATCTTCGCCGGTTAGAAACATTTAGGCTGGCCTGCCTACGATCCATCCTGGGTTTAACCAGGCTGAATTGTGTGAGGAGCTCACAAATCCTTGAAAGATCTGGGCAAAGTCCCATCGGTGAGCTCCTCCGGCAGGCAAGGCTGCGTTGGCTGGGCCATGTAGCCCGCATGCCCAGCCACCGCATGCCTAAACAGCTTCTGTTCGGCCGGATCGAGGGGGCTAAACGGGCGCGGCACGGGCTAGAGAAGAGATGGAATGATGTGGTACAGGAGGACGTGGAGCTGAGTGGACTTGCCGATGACTGGTACCAGCGGTGTCAAGATCGGCCTCAAGGTGCACTTGGCCTGGCACAAGCGTCGTGGTGACGTCACCGCCACTTAGTGGCGAATGGCGGTTGTTGTTGTTGTTGTGTATGTCTGCCCAGGACCAGGAACAGATAATCGTCACTGGCGTTGGCCGTGAGCGGAAATCGAAGCCGGGTCGCCAGGTTCATAGCGCAGCGTAGCGCTGACCACTACACGACCGCTCTCCACACTATACACTACACGCACTCTGCTATACACTGCACTACACACTTCACACACTACACACATCCACAGATTCCCATAGAGACCCAGACTCATAGACCCACAGAGGCACATAGAGCCCCAGAGACTCATAGAACCACAGAACCCACAGAGACTCATAGACCCACACGGACCCACAGAGACCCACAGAGATCAATTGAACCACAGAGAACCATAGAGACTCATGGAACCACAGAGACCCACAGAGACCCATAGAGAATAATTGAACCACAGAGACCCACAGATAATAATTTAACCACAGACACCCATAGTGACTCATATAACCACAGAGACCCACAGACAATATTTGAACCACAGAGACCCGTAGAGACTCATATAACCACAGAGACCCACAGAGAATAAATTAACCACAAATACCCATAGAGACTCATAGCACCACAGAGACCCACAGAAACCCACAGAAACCCACAGAGACCCACAGAGACCCACACAGAGACTCATCCGATCGATCCAAGAGGTCGGCCACTGAAACTCACCGATTTGCAGCGCCAACACCGCCACCACCACCACCACCACCAGAGTCATTGTTCCTTTCGCTCTAAATTCGAATTGTCATCGATCTTCTTCTGAAACAAAACCAATTTTTGTATGTATATGTGTGTGTATATGTGTGTGATGTATTATCTAATTGTTTTGTGTTTGTGTGGTTTAAAGCTGATGTGTTGTGGTTTATCCCCTTGCTCCTTGCTTCTAGAGCAGAGCGCAAGAATTTCACTCTACGAGACCTTCGTCAGCCGCAGGAGCTGCCGTTGGGGGTGTTCGTGCGAGGGATCATGATGTGTGTCGATTTATAGACTGACACACAGACACAGACAATGATCCCCCGTGAAGCCTCTAACATACTGTAGGGTCAAGTGCTATTAGTAGCGAGTAGCAGCACTGTGGCACACGAGGGGGTGGGTGGCCAGCACCACGCCCAGCCGCCTTTGTCTCCCCAGTGTTTACACATCGCATCAGGTACTCATTTGAGGGTGAGTCGACCTAGGGGAGGCCCGGGACGGGTTCAGATAAGCGTCACTGGTGTTGGCCGTAAGTGGGAATCGTAGCGCTAACCACTACTACACTACCGCTCCCCATATGCACACACAGACACACACACAGACACACACACAGACCCACACACACAAACACACACACACAGACACACACAGACACACACAACAACAACCGCCATTCGCCACTAAGTGGCGTTGACGTCACCACGACGCTTGTGCCAGGCCATGTGCACCTTGAGGCCACGTGAAGTGTCGAACGCCCGCTGGCAGGAGGTCACGGGGCAGACCTAGGTGCCACGGGTCGACTGACTGAGATGACTGGCTGATGCATCACCTGTGCCCCCCACTGTGCCAACTTGCTGTGCTTTAGCCACCCGGCGCTCCGCTCGTTGTTGTGAGTGTCGCTCCTCCGCCCTCCGTTGTTGTTGGGGGGCGACTGCCTCCAACTGCCCAGCAGCGTCTTTCACGAGCTTCCTCCACTGAGGCCGATCTTGACACCGCTGGTACCAGTCATCGGAAAGTCCACTCAGCTCCACGTCCTCCCGTACCACATCACTCCATCTCTTCTCTAGCCCGTACCGCGCACATTTAGCATGCGGGCTACATGACCCAGCTAACGCAGCCTGGCCTGTTGGAGGAGCTCACCGATGGGATTTTGCCCAGGTCTTTCAAGGATTTGTGAGCTCCTCGCATAATACAGCCTGGTTAAACTCAGGATGGATCGTAGGCAGGCCAGCTCAAATGTTTCCAATCGGCAAAGATGCTCCATTAGGGGGGTCCACGTTTCGCAAGCGTAGAGAAGGGAGGGAATGACTGTGGCCGAGAAGACGTGAAGCTTCGTGCGGAGCGACAGAACAGGTAGCTTCCCCACAACGTTACGCAACCGATGAAAAGATAATGCTGCTCGACTGATTCTGAGTGAGACCTCTGCTGTCAAACCGGAGCGGGTCATGAGCACACTGCCCAGGTATGAGAAATTCTCCACTCTCTCTACAACTGCCCCATCACCGATTGGGAGTTGTGGAGGTGGAGTGCCCGATGGTACAAAATACCCAGGCAGGTGCTTAGATTTGGTGGGGCTGATGGTAAGGCCCCATCTCTTAGTGGCACACTCCAGTTTCAGCAGCAGTGCCTCCAACTTCTCCTCTGAGTGAGCGGCAATTACCAGATCATCGGCATACATAACATGGTTGGGCAATTCGGGAGCCATCCCTTGACCGCACCCGGACATCGATCAGCCTCCCATTTCATCTCTACCGAGTGGAAATTCCTCCGGTACAGCTATTGAAGGCTTCACGAACTTCGTGGTCGAAATAGACGTTAAATAATGTGGGAGCCAGAGTGTGATGCCACAGCGGCGAAGCCGCTCTGCCGGCGCCGCACCCGCGATGCCCACACCACAGAGCGGCCTGGCCGACGCTGCTCTTCCCTCACCACCCCCCACATGAACACATGCAGTCACCTGGCCCACAGGTTTTCACCCAGGAGCCCTCCTCGTGGGGGGACATTCTCCACGGTTTTTCCTGAGGCCAGGGAATTGACCGAGGCTTCCCCCAGGTTAAATTGCGCTGCGGCGCCGTGAATTTACGTGGAATTACATGGTCACGACGAGGCTACTCAGCCCCCGCGGTTAAGACGCACACAACACAGACGGGTTAGCAGGCAGGTAGGGGGCAGAGCCACGAACGGCAGGAAACCAGGGTGAGCGTCTGATTGGCAGGACAAATGTGCTTGTGCACGGCTGCCAACGCAGCGGCCCAGCGGCAATCCCTTTGATTTGGAAATCGGGATGCGGACGGCGCTGAGAGCACCGATGCAAGAGATAAGGCTCGGCGGGAGGAGCCAGAGCAATCTGATTGGCCGGGAAGGCCATCGGGTCAGCGCCAGGTTTTCTTTGATGTAAAGAACAATGAAAGGCGAGGTAAGGTAGACATAGAGTTAGTTCGTGTCCAGCACAAGTCAGTGATCGGTCGGCCCTCCAGCCACTCGAACGTCCGTGTGACGAGTCGCAGTGCAGCGACGAGCTCCGTACGAATTGAACTGTGAGTACGAGAGAGAGAGAGGTAGAGAACGGCGTGATAATTCTTCGAGAGGATAAGTCTAAAAAGGCGGGAAAAATCGGGTTTAGACCATCGTTAACCGGTTAGTAACCCCACTGATTTCGGCTTCGGGCTCTGGGATATTTAGTATCCAGACACGCCGGGAATAAATCATTAGTGATCTCAAATTCATTTGATTTATTTCATTTATTAGGTACTAGCGGAAGTACCTGGCGTTGCCTGGGTGAAAAATATATTTCTTAAAAACCTTACATATATATATACACAGATACTAAGGTATTGTCAAAGCCCGGTGGGCCGTTTGTCCATTTCTCCGCCAACAAAATTATAAGAGGCTTGCAAAGTCCAAAAAGTTGTAGAAAGTGTGGGTAAATAGTTGATGTAAAAGGTTTCCGAAAATTGTGGACCCACCCCCTCGAAAAATATCTTTAACCCCGCGTCAGTATATATGCCTACACACCTTACATACAACAGAGCAGGTAGTATCTATTGACTCTGTAGTAGTATCTACTGACTGTACCGTAGTATCTACTGAGCCAGTAGTAGCTACTGACTGTGTAGTAGTATTTAGTGACTGTAGTAACTACTGACCATATTAGTATTTACTGGGCCTACAGTAGTATCTACCGACTTTATAGTAGTAACGACTAACTGTATAGTATCTGCTGACTCTATAGTAGTATCCACTGACTATAGTAGTAAATACTAACTCTATAGCAGTATCTACTCACTCTATAATAGTATCTACTGACTCTAGTAGCTACTCACCGTGGTAGTATGTACTGACTGTATAGTAGTATATACTGACTGTAGCAGTATTGACTGACTGTAGTGGTATATACTGACTGTTTTAGTATCTACTAACTCTATATAGCAGTATCTACCAACTCGATAGCAGTATCTACTATCACTACAGCAGTGTATACCGACTGAGGTGGTACCTGCTATGATTACAGCAGTGCATACTGCTGTGTTGGTACATGCTATGATTACAGCAGTGCATACTGACTGTGGTGGTACCTGCTATGATAACAGCAGTGCATACTGACTGATGGTACCTGCTATGATGACAGAAGTGCATACTGACTGTGGTGGTACCTGCTATCTCTACAGCAATGCATACTGTGTTGGTACCTATGATGACAGCAGTAGATACCGAGTGTGGTAGTACATATATTACATACACAAATACAAAAAGTTTAATGTACGTAAAAAGTATTTGTGTATGAATTTAACGTGTTTAGGAGAATAAAAACTGTAATACTAAATAAGTAATGGAACTGTGAACCCAAATGATGGACCACATAATAAGCCAGTGTGGTCTCCGTCTCTTCAATGTAGGAATAACAGGACTTGCATAAGCTCTCTCCTGAAGCCCTTTCGTTGCCAGCAGACCTGAACATTGACATTTAGCTCTCCAAAAGTGCCATACGCAAGAAGACAAACAGAAACATGTATTTAATTGTAGTTAACATTTATTTAGTGCCTTTTTATATAGCTCTTGACTCAGGTGCAACCGCAACAAACAAAAACATGAACAAAGAAGATCTTAAAGTGACGACGCGCGACAGAAACATCCAGGAAAAAACAGCAAAATCTTCCTGAAAAAACACCGTATATCAACGCTGTGCACAAAAATCCCAGTGGGATGCAAGTCTTACAATAACAAACATAAAACAATTTAGATTAAAGTTATCAGGCTAACTCTGTACTACTACATAACATGTACATGCCTTGGTCTTTTATCGAATCCAATGAGCCATAAGTATATGGTCAATGGTAGAAAAACATGTATTTATTTGTACTATAGTAAGGCACTACAAAAAACACAGACTATATAACTTGTAATAGGAAAAAGGGGGAAATGGGGAAAAGGGAAGTATGGCAGGTAAGATCCGAGGCGAAAGAACAACAGCGCATGGGCGGTGCCGCAAACAACCGCTGGCTGCAAGATCGCCGACGGGTAAAACTGCCACTTTTTGCTGACCAACACCCCCCTATGAAAAAGCTTCTTTGTAAACAATATTTCTGGTCCTGCCTGCTGGTGCAAAGTAATGTAAATAATTTTCATTGCCTACACGAGAGCATCCAACATAAAGTTAGCCATGAGAAAAGCACTGATTTGCCAAATTCAGTCCCACCACTTTTAAAGATTGTCCTTGCGCCTCGTTAATGGACATGGCAAAGCTAAGCTGGATGGGTAATTGAAGCCTCTTAAATTCAAAGACTGTGTCATTTGGGATTATAGGTTATTTGGGATTATAGGTTAATGGACATGGCAAAGCTAAGCTGATTGGGGAATTGAAGCCTCTTAAATTCAAAGACTGTGTCATTTGGGATTATAGGTATGCGAGGGATAAAGACGTCCTCGCCTTTAGAATTGCCTGTAATGATTGTAGCTTTGATAACATTTGAATGTAAATCTTTCACAATTAACTTTGTGCCATTGCATAGTTTAGGTGTGTCCAAGTTTCTCAATAGCAAGACAGGTGCCCCAATTTTTAGTCGCAAGTTGTGTGGTGGAACACCCGGGAGCTGCAGAGAATTCAAGAATTCAACCGGATAGTTAACAATTTGATCATGGTCCAACACTGTGTCAATAGATTTGTAGGACTTACTCTCTCCAGATAATTTCTGCAACAGCATAGAATTTATTCTGTGAACGGCATCATTTTTAAATCCTTTATAT